CTCCTCCTCCTCCTCCTCCTTATTTAATCGCTTCGCTCATTCCGCCGGCCCATATTGTCGCACAGTTGTGGGCTAGCCGAGTTTTGGGGCCTCTTGGGGGCCGTTTTGGGGCCTCTTGGGGCCTCTTTTGGGCCTCTTTTGGGCCTCTTGGGGCGTCTTGGGGGCCTCTTGGGGGCCTCTTGGGGCCTTTTTGGGGCCTCCTGGGCGCCTTCTGGGGCGGAGGGCTCGATTTTTCAGTTCTCGGTTCCCCTCTTGAGCCCCTCTTGGGCCCGTCTTGGGGCCTCTTGGTCCGTCTTGGGCGGCACTTGGGCCGTCTTGGGGGCCCTCCTGGGCCGTTCCGGGGCCGTCTTGGGAGCCTCGTGGGCCGTCTTGGAGCGGTCTTGGGGGCCTCTTGGGCCGTCTTGGAGCGTCCGGAAGCCGAAAAAGCCAGAACGCAAAAAACATCGAAAAAAACAATGAAAATCAACGATTTTGGCCTCTTGGGGCCCTCTTCGGAGGCCTCTTGGAAGGCCCTTGGGGCGTCTTGGAGGCCTCTTGGGCTGTCTTGGGGCCCTGTTGGGCGTCTTCGGGCGATCTTTGGCCGTCTCGGGGCCCTCTTGGACCGTCTTGGAGGCTTCTTGGGGGCCTCTTGGCCCGTCCTGGGGCCCTGTAACAGGGCTCCGGCATCTCTGGCCCGACCTTGCGGGGACCTTGCCGGGGACCTTGCCGGGGACCTTGCCGGGGACCGGCCGGGACCTGGTCGGGGTACTTTTCGTCTGGGGACCCCCAGGGGCCGCCCCGCGCGCGCGAAGTAGAAACATTGTAGAGCAGTTACCGGAGATCTTAGCACGCCTCTGGCCCGTTGGGCCGGCGAATTCCGCTGTTCCTCTTCCCCCTCTTTGACTGACGGGCCAGGGCAGCCGCGCGCGGTCCTGCGCGGGCGGCCCGCTCGGCGGACTCACGGGGCCCTCTCTTGCTCCCTCCTCGGGGAACCTTGGACATCCTTCTCCTCCGTCTTTGCCGGTGCTCAGCGTGCTGGAGTCTCCTAGCCCTCTTTGTGTGTGTGTGTGTGTGTGTGTGTGTGTGTGTGTGTGTGTGTGTGTGGGGGCCAGCAGCTTTCGCGAGCTGCTTCTGCATCCGACAGATTTCCTTGTTCTTTTGATCGGACAGAGGTGGCCGTGGCCAGAGGTGGCTCCACCTCTCCGACCTATTCTGGTACCGGTGAGGGCCGCTAGGTCTCGTGATGGATGATTTGAACGCCTGGGACTTCCCCTGAAAAGTTTGGCCACTTTGTGGCAGGACCACCTCTGGCAACACACGACTAAAGGCTTACGCCCTTCCGCATCCCCCTCCCGCTTTTTCCCGTGCCGCCCAAACCAGGCTGGGCTCGGGGGATTGCGACGCACCGCCGATGCATCGGCGATGCGGCGCGATCCAGAGCCAGATCTTTTTGAACGCACGGGCGATGCGGTGCGATCCTCGACCCCCAGACCTGTCCCGGGGTGCATTCCTGCCAGGATTCCGAGGCGGGCCCCGCAGTGGCGACGAGAGGGCCCAGCCTAAGACCAGAAGGAGCGGACCTCGAACCTCGGGTCCTCGCATCCCAAATGTTCCCCCGACCGTAAGCCGACCCCAGATGTCCGGGTGGCCTCCCTGCTTTCGCCATGGGGAGGAACGCGTTCTCGACCCAGGGGCTTCCCCCAGGGTCCGCCTCTTATCCCGAGCCTCTCTTGACGGCCCCGTGGGCCCAGGAGGAGGGCCCCAGAGGGCCCGGGCCAGCGAGGAGCCTCCAGGACCCCTTGTCATCAGGGCCTGCTTCCTCAGTATGCCAGATCTGCCTCCTCCTCCTCCTCGCTCCTCGCCCCTCCTCCCTCCTCGCCCCTTCTCCCTCCTCGCCCCTCCTCCCTCCTCCTCCCTCCTCCTCCCTCCTCCTCCTCGTCCCTCCTCGTCCCTCCTCCTCCTCCTCCTCCTCCTCCTCCTCCTCCTCCTCCTCCTCCCTCCTGCCCTCCTCCTCCCTCCTGCCCGCCCCCCCTCCGCTCGCCGGAGCGGGCGGGAGCGCTCGTCCACGGAGCGCCAGGAAGCCGTGGTCCCGATGGCCTGCACGGCGCTGCCGCGCCTCCTGGCGCGGCCGCTCCCCTCCGCTTCGGCTCCGTGCCGGTGCGCCCCGATCCGCCGCGCGTTTCGATCCGAGCCTTTCTTCCCGATGCGATGCTGCCCGATGCTTGCGAACATATAGTCAGGATGAGGTCGGGCATGTCCCTCTACAGGAGGAGGAGGAGGAGGAGGAGGAGGAGGAGGAGGAGGAGGAGGAGGAGGATGAGGAGGAGGAGGAGGAGTATTCAAGAATAGCAGAAGTTAGGTTGACGATTCCACACATATATATATATGTATATATAGATTCCCCCTTCCTTTTATGTTTTTCGTTGTTGTTTGTTTGTTTCTCTTAGTTCTTGCTGCTGTATCATAACGTATCAACTTTCCGTCTAAAGTCCGCGGCAGCTCCAGCGCGAGTCCAAGGACAGCAAGAGCTCGTGAGGCTCTCAACGACCCCGGGCCCTTCGGTGCCGCGCTCGCGAGCCCGCCGGCGGGCTCTGGACTCCCCCCCCCTCTCCGCGGGTCGTCGCTCCCTCGTCGGGCGCCGCCGGCAGGCGCAGATGGAGTACGACACCATGCGGACGAAGGCCCCTCGGGCCTCGCCGCCCCCAGAGTGCAGCGATGCTTTTCCCGCTCCTGCGGTAGCTTCGGCCCGCCTGCGCGAGCTCTGGCCTCTTGCGGACGAGGAGGCAGAGGCGCGCCGTCGCCAGGCTCTCTCTGCCTTTCGGCGTCTTCACTCCCGCCCCTCACCCGGGCCGGGGCTCGCGCTCCCCCCACAAACAGTGCGACGGGGCACCGCGCCACCAGACGTCGACTGACGACGACGACGACGACGACGACCAGCGTCCGACGACTGACGACCGATGACCGACGATGACCGACGTGACGACGACCGACGACCGACGACCGACGACAAACGACCGACGACGACGATACCGACGACGACGACGACGGACGACGACGACGACGACGACGAGGACGAGGACGACGACGACGACGAGGACGAGGACGAGGACGACGACGATGATGACCACGACGACGGCGACGGACGACGGACGACGGACGACGACGGACGACGGACGAGCGACGACAATCGACCGACGACCCACGACCGACGACCGACGACCGACGACCAGTGACCGACGACCGATGACTGACGACCGACGACGACGACGACGACGACGACGACGGCCGACGACCGACGACGACGACTACCACGACCACGACGACGACGACGACGACGACGACGACGACGACGACGACGACGACGACGACGACGACGACGACGACCGACGACCGACGACCGACGACCGACGACCGACGACCGACGACCGACGATGGACGACCGACGACACCGACGACCAACGGCCGACGGGCGATGACCAACGACGTACGACGGACGACGGACCACGGACGACGGAAGACGGACGACCGACGACCGACGACCGACGATCGGCGAGAGGGAGAGAGATCCCAGGGCTTCCGAGGCCTAGTGCATCTCTCACCGGCGCGTGTGCCGTTGTGCCCCCGTCCGACGCCAATGGCAGAGTCGCGACGACGGGGGCCTGGAGCTCTTGATCTTCCAATGGAGATGGCGCCCGCCAGACGACGGCCAACGTCCGCAGGCTCCATGCTCGAGAGTACGCCCCAGACAGACCGCGGCTCGACGAGATGAAGGCCGGCCCGTTTTTCTTGTCCGCCGATCTTTGGCATCTGGGGGTTGGTGTTCGGGCCCGTCGGAAACGGCTCAGGATGAAAAATCAGCCCAGGGGCAGGCGGCGAGAGCTGTGGGGCACATGCCTCCAGAGAGCATCGAGCTGCCGGCTGTCCGGATGCAAACAGAGATCTGCCGCACGGTGCCTTGGCAATAGGCAGCGAGCCCCCGCCCTGGGCCCGCTCGCGCCCACACGCACGGGGGGTGCTCGGAGGGCCCCGGGGGCAGCCTAACCCCGAGGGCCCTACTCAGGAGTTCAGAGTGGCCCTCATTTCAATATTTTGACCGTGTCCCCTCCGCAAGGATCGGGGAAACGTAAGGTTCGAGTCTGTCGAAACTCGGTTCAGTCTAGCCGCCGCTTTTTGACGTCCCTGGTCTGAATTTGGACGGTCTAGTGTTCGTGAAATGCTTGTGGCGAGAGATCGCGTCAAACTTCAGACCGCACCCGAGTCGTACGGTGTTCAGAACAGATACCCTGCAGCCCCTCCTGGTAGGCGGGGTGGTACGGGCCCCCTCGCAGCAAGCGCATCGCGGCACGCTCACCTCACGCACGGAGAGGTCGGGGCACCGTCGGTCTGGGGCGTTGCTTCTCGGCGAGGGGGTGGAGGGGGGCAGCGGGCAGCACGGCCTTCCCCCCTCCCCTCCGTGCCCCAGACAGTGCTCGCACGTCGGGGGTTCTGATGCGTTGTCTGAGAGGGCCTGCGGGTCGCTCTGGCCGCCACGGGGCCGCCGTCGCCGCCCCGTCGCCGCCCGTCGCCGCCCGTCGCCTGGGCCTGCGGGCCGCTCTGGTCGCCAGGTGGGCACCGTCGCCGCCTCGTCGCTGTCGGCCATCATGTCGCCACCCGCTTTGCATTGCTTCTCATTGCTTCGCATTGCTAGGCGTTGCTAGGCGTTGCTTGACTTTGCTTGGCATTGCTTGGCGTTGCTTGGCATTGCTTTGCCTTGCTCTGCATTGCCTGGCATTGCTGTGCGTCGTTGCATTGCAATCGTGCTGCTTTGCAATCACAATGCAGTGCGCTGCTTTGCATTTCTTGGCATTGCTTGTCAGTGCTTGGCATTACTATGCCGTACTTTGCATTGCTTTGCATTGCTTGGCATTGCTTGGCGTTGTCTCGCTATGATTCGTATTGCGTTGCCTTTCTTTGGATTGCTTTGTATTCCTTTGCGTTATGCTACATTGCTTTGCGTTGCTGAGCATTGTTTGCACCAGATGTATCGCGCCACGTTCATTGCACCACATGTATTGCACCACATCAGTTGCACCGCACAGCTTGCACCAGATAACTGGCACTACATGTGTTGCACACGTCGATGGCACCGCATAGCTTGCAACACGTACATATCACCACATTGTATGCAACACATCGTATGCTAGAACGCACTGTGTGGTGTCCACGCTGGCTAACGCTTTTCGGGATTTTTAAATTCAAGAGGCTGACGCCATTCCACCGACTCCAAGAGAGTGCTGGGGGAGGAAGAAGATGAAATGGACGGAGTCAACGAAGCTGGTAGGGGCGCGTCCTTGGGGGAGGTGGTGCGGGAGGGAACTGGCCCACGACCCGAAAACCCCGCAGGGGCCAGCGGATGTTTACGAGTAATTGTACCTGTTCATGGCGCTCTTTCGGAGGCGGTTCTGGGGTGTCTCGGTGCCTCTCGGGGGCCTCTACGGGGGCCCTCCTGGGGCCTGGTGCCGTTCTGGGGGTCATCTTGGGGCGAAGGGCTCGAAGCGTCGGCTCTTGTTCCGCATCTTGGGGCTCTCGTGAGGCCCTCTTGGGGCCGTCCTGGGCTGTCGTGGGGCCTCCTTGGGCCGTCTTGGGGCCGTCTGGAGGCTCTCCTGGGGGTCTCTTGGGCTGTCTTGGGGCGATCTTGGGGGCCTTGTTGGCCGTCGTGGGATGTCGGAAGCCCAGAAAGGCGATAATGCTAAAATCTGTCAAAACCAATTGACAACGATTTTGGTCTATTGGGGGGCCTTTTGCAGTGCTCTTGGGATGTATTGGGGGCGTCTTGTGCCGTCTGGAGGAGACCATGGGCGTCTTGGAGCCCTCGTGGGCCGTCTCGGAGCCCTCTTGGTCCGTCATGGGGGGCCCTCTTGGAGTTTTCTTAGCCCGTTTTGGGGCCCTGTTCCCTTTCCGAGATCCCCCGAAGTGCGTTGGCAAGCTCGTATTTTCCACCCCCTTATTGGCCCCCCCTCACCACTCTAATGGGATTTTAGAGTCTAGGGGCGGGGGAACGGGGGAGAGGGATAGCGAATCATCTCACACGCCTTGCACACCCCAGGCAAGCGGGAGTCTGTAGGTCTCAACATCTTTGAACATTTTCGAACGTGGTTGGGGGGCCCTTAGACGTTCTTGGGACTTCCAGAGTCCCCCCTTATGGCCTCCAGAGACCCTCTGGAGGTCCCCGGGAGGCATTCGTAGACCTTCGGGGACCTAGACCTGTGGTGTCTCTCTCTTCCCCCCCTCGTCCTCCGCTCCCCATCCCCTCCCCCCTCCATTCCCTCAGGGGGAGATTCCAAGATTTCCAGGTTTTCCACGACCTTCGCGTGGACGCCAGAGACGAAGGCCGCCAGACGCTAGAATTCCCGGGACGCATCCGGGGCCAATCGCATTACGACACCATTATCGCTATTGTTACTGCTCCTCCCCCCTTTGCCCCTCCTTTGTCCCTCTTCCTGGCCACCTCCTGCCTCCTCCGCTTGCGCGCGTCTGCTAGGTCTTCAAGGCACGTGCCGACGCGGAAGTTTCGAAGAAAGCCCTCGACAAGATCCACAAGGAGTGAGCCATCGCACCCCCGATCTCTGACGCATTGCGAAGGTTCGCGACTCCTGCCAGCACGCAAGGCTGGGCTTGTCGTCAGGTGCGTTCTGCGGGTTGGTGCGGGGCTGCTGCAATTGCCGGATGGATGCTGTCAACATTTTCCGGTTGATTTTTTGTTTTGCTGCGCCTCTGGGGAAAGGCAGGCCCCCGAGGCAGCATTTTTGTCCACTGCGTTGGCTACGCTCGACCCCATCACGGGGATCGTTTTTGTTCGTTGTTGTTGTTGTTGCTGCTGTTGCTGTTGCTGTTGCTGTTGCTGTTGCTGTTGCTGTGGCTGTGGTTGTTGTTGTTGTTGTTGTTGTTGTTGTCGTTGTTGTTGTTGTTGTTGTTGCTGTTGCTGTTGCTGTTGCTGTTGCTTTTGTTGCTGTTGCTGTTGCTGTTGTTGTTGTTGTTGTTGTTGTTGTTGTTGTTGTTGTTGTTGTTGTTGTTGTTGTTGTTGTTGTTAGTAAGGGCGGGGCGCCCCGACCCGTGTCCCACAACACCCCCCCCCCCCCACAACACTCACAACAACCGGGGGGGGGTCCGGACGGGCAACCGAAAGTTTCGGGCCCATTTCGGCGCACCCCTCACACGGTTCGTGGCCCCACAGGGGGCGGAGCCGAAGGCCTGGGGCCCATTTCGGCGCACCCCTCACACGGTTCGTGGCCTTACAGGGGGCGCAAGCGAAGGTCTCGGGTCCATTTCGGCGCACCCCTCACACGGTTCGTGGCCCCACAGGGGGCGCAGCCGAAGGTTTTCGCGGCCCCACAGGGGGCGCAGCCGAAAGCTTCGGGCCAATTTCGGCGCACCCCTCACACGGTTCGTGGCCCCACAGGGGGCGCAACCGAAGGCTTTCGTTGCCCCACAGGGGGGGCAACCGAAGGCCTCGGGCCCATTTCGGCGCACCCCTCACACGGTTCGTGGCCTTACACGGAGCGCAACCGAAGGTCTCGGGTCCATTTCGGCGCACCCCTCACACGGTTCGTGGCCCCACAAGGGGCGCAGCCGAAGCTTTTCGCAGCCCCACAGGGGGCGCAGCCGAAAGCTTCGGGCCAATTTCGGCGCACCCCTCACACGGTTCGTGGCCCCACAGGGGGCGCAGCCGAAGGTTTTCGCGGCCCCACAGGGGGCGCAACCGAAGGCTTTCGCGGTCCATTTCGGCGCACCCCTCACACGGTTCGTGGCCCCACAAGCCCGCAACCGAAGGTCTCGGGTCCATTTCGGCGCACCCCTCACACGGTTCGTGGCCCCACAGGGGGCGCAGCCGAAGGCTTTCGCGGCCCCACAGGGGGCGCAACCGAAAGCTTCGGGCCCATTTCGGTGCACCCCTCACACGGTTCGTGGCTCCACAGGGGGCGCAACCGAAGGCCTCGGGCCCATTTCGGCGCACCCCTCACACGGTTCGTGGCCTTGCAGGGGGCGCAACCGAAGGTCTCGGGTCCATTTCGGCGCGCCCCTCACACGGTTCGTGGCCTTACAGGGGGCGCAACCGAAGACTTCGGACCCATTTCGGCGCACCCCTCACACGGTTCGGCGCCCCACAAAGGGCGCAACCGAAGGCTTCGGGTCGATTTTTGCGCGCCCCTCAAACGGCTCGTGGCCGCACAAGGGGCGGAACCGAAGGCCTCGGGCCCATTTCGGCGCACCCCTCAAACGGTTCGTGGCCGCACAAGGGGCGGAACCGAAGGCCTCGGGCCCCACAGGGGGCGCAACCGAAACCCTCGGGTCCATTTCGGCGCACCCCTCACACGGTTCGTGGCCGCACAGCAAGCCGCACCGCAGACTACGACTACTACTACTACTACTACTACTACTACTACTACTACTACTACTACTACTACTACTACTACTACTACTACTACTACTACTACTACTACTACTACTACTACTACTACTACTACTACTACTACTACTATACTACTACTACTACTACTACTACTACTACTACTACTACTACTACTACTACTACTACTACTACTACTACTACTACTACTACTACTACTACTACTACTACTACTACTACTACTACTACTACTACTACTACTACTACTACTACTACTACTACTACTACTACTACTACTACTACCATGACTACGACTACGACTAGAAGTACTAGGGCTACTACTACTACTACTACTACTGCCACTACCAGTAGCACTACGAGGTCGGCGCGGTAGCGGGCGCATACTTGTAGCTGGTGGGAACGCGTGGGCTGCCGTAAGGACCTCGAAGCTTTCCTAGTGGATTCCTATGCCTTGGGGTGGCAGGAGGGTCGGTCACCGTCGCGCCCCCCCCCCCCCCCGCGACGCGACGTGCGACGCGTCGCGTCGCGCGTCGCGTCGCGCGGGGGGGGGGGGGGGGTACGGGGTCGCAGTGCGGGCCTCTGCCATATAGCGGAGGCCCGCACTGCGACCCAGTGGGACGGGGTCGCAGTGCGGGCCTCGGATCTGTACAGGGCCCTATACAGTCTGTATCGGATCTGTACAGGGTCCCATACAGTCTGTATCGGATCTGTACAGGGTCCCATACAGTCTGTATCGGATCTGTACAGGGTCCCACACAGTCTGTATCGGATCTGTACAGGGTCCCATACAGTCTGTATCGGATCTGTATAGGATCCGATACAGTCCGTATCGGATCTGTATATGATCCTATACAGTCCGTATGGGATCTGTAGGGGGTCCTATACAGTCCGTATCGGATCTGGAAAGGGTCTTATGCAGTCCGTATTGGATCTGTGTAGGATCCTATGCAGTCCGTATCGGATCTGTGTAGGATCCTATTCAGTCCGTATCAGATCTGTGTAGGATCCTATTCAGTCCGTATCAGATCTGTGAAGGATCGTATACAGTCCGTATCGGGTCTGTATAGGATCCGATACAGTCCGTATCGGATCTGTATAGGATCGTATACAGTCCGTATCGGATCTGTATAGGATCGTATACAGTCCGTATCGGGTCTGTATAGGATCCGATACAGTCCGTATCGGATCTGTATAGGATCGTATACAGTCCGTATCGGATCTGTATAGGATCGTATACAGTCCGTATCGGATCTGTATAGGATCGTATACAGTCCGTATCGGATCTGTAAAGGATCGTATACAGTCCGTATCGGATCTGTATAGGATCGTATACAGTCCGTATCGGATCTGTATAGGATCGTATACAGTCCGTATCGGATCTGTATAGGATCGTATACAGTCCGTATCGGATCTGTATAGGATCGTATACAGTCCGTATCGGATCTGTATAGGATCGTATACAGTCCGTATCGGATCTGTAGGATCGTATACAGTCCGTATCGGATCTGTATAGGATCGTATACAGTCCGTATCGGATCTGTATAGGATCGTATACAGTCCGTATCGGATCTGTATAGGATCCTATACAGTCCGTATCGGATCTGAATGGGATCCTATACAGTCCGTATCGGATCTGAATGGGATCCTATACAGTCCGTGTCGGATCTGTATAGGATCCTATACACGGACAGGACATTCTCACGGATCTGTACAGGTTCCTAAGGATCCCTAGGACATTCTCACGGATTCCTAGGACATTCCTAAGGATTCCTAAGAATTCCGAAGGATTCCCAGGTATTCCTTAAAGATTCCTAGGAATTCCTTGCTTCGCCGGTGCACACATGCTTTTTGCCAGCAGGGATTCGTTGGTGCCAGAGAGGAGGTCCGCAGATGTTCACACAAATCGGTTGTGGTTGTTGCCGGGGGGGGGTCCCGACGGGTCGCGCTGGCCGCCCCTGCATTAAGGCCAGGGCGGCCAGCGCCGACCCGTTGGACGGGTCGGCGCTAGGCCGCCTTGCTTGTGTTGTTGTTGGTTGTTGTTCTTCGTTGTTGTTGTTGCTGCTGCTGTGTGGGTTTAAAGAGTTAAGGCCACCCGCCGTTATGTTGTGCTAGTCTTGATTGTGCCGCGGTTTCCCACATAAGGAAATCAGCTGTAAGACTTGTTCAACCGAATATGACGACATTCTTTTTGTGTTTTGCTGCAAACCCTCCACACAAGGCGTCCACTCGCAACCTCCCAGAAGAGAAGGAGGGGCAATAGGAAGAGCAGGATGAGGAGGAAGATGAAGTGGAGGATGAAGGGAAATAACACGAGGTTGAAGAGGGGAGAAATGCAGGAAAAGGTTGAGGTGGATGTTGACGAATCGGGGCAGTCGAGGAGAATGAGGAGGAGGAGGGAGGATGAGGATGAGGACGAGGATGAGGATGAGGATGAGAAGAGGAGGAGAAGGAGGAGGAGGAGGGGGATGATGAGGAGGGGAGGAACAACCTGATTGAAATTACATTCTTCAAGTCTCGAGGGCCTCCTGTGAAATGTGTCCAAGAGAGTGGTCCATGGGAGTCCCACGGAAAGTGGACAAGTCAAGTCCGAGGAGGTTGTAAGAAGGAAGGAGCCCCCTAATCGTCCTTACTTTCCCGCTCCCTCTTCATAACTTTCCTCCTCATAACCCTCCTCATTCTCGTTCTTCTTGCCGTCGTTGTCCTCATCGCCATCTCCCCCTCCTCCTGGCCACTCGGGTGTCCACTCCCACTACATGCAACGGCTGATGTGACACCGACAGTGGGTTCTCCATGGAATTGTTCTGCCACGCTCACTGTCAGTCCTCCGCCTCCCTCCTGCCCCTCCTCCTCATCCTGTGGCTCCTCCTCCTCCTCCTCCTGCTCCTCCCCGCCCCGTCGCCGATGCAATGCTGGCTCGAGCCACTTGGGGCCTCGCAGCCACGCGCTCCTCGAGCCCTCTCTCTCCGCCGGCCCGCCGGCCCGCGCGGCGACGGAGGGCGGGCGGCCATTTTTTAAGAGGCCGCGGCGGAGCCGAGGCTGCTGGCCGAGCGGGGGGGGGGGGCCGAGCCCTCCGGGCGCCTCGGAGACCCCCCACGGCCGCGGAGGCCCGGGCGCCTCGCGGCGCGCGCGCCGCGGACATCGGCGACCGACGTGCGATCCCTGTGCCCCTGCCGCACTGCCCCCGCGGCCCCCCCGCTCGGGGCGCAGGATTGCAATAAAAAACTGAGGATTGCAAAAAAAACGAAGGATTGCAACAAAAACGAAGGATTGCTAAAAAAACGAAGGGGGGGGCCGCGGAGCCTGGACCAGAGAGCGTGGCCTCGGAGGCCAGGCACTCTCCCCCCCCTCCCCGCTCCGGCCGGCTCCGCGCGGGGTCGGGGCGCGAGGCAGGGGCGAGGGGGTCGAAGGTCGATCGCCTGCCTCGGGGCCTGCCTACACCGCAGCGCCATGGAGCGGCGCGCCCTCCCGGAGGCGACCTCAGGCCCCGAGGCCCGTGGCCGCGCGGGCGAGGAGGGGGCCCCGCAGACGTGCGGCCGCGGCTGCACGCCGCCGCCCGACGAGCGGCTGCGGGCCCTCTCCCCGTGGTCATGCGGCAGCGCCCCGGCGGAGGCCCCGAGGCCGACCCAGCTCGGGGGCGGAAAAGAGGGGGGTGATGACTAGGGGGGGGTGGATATCATGGCGTGGGCCATGATATCTCCCCAGATTTCGCGGCGCCTCTTCTTGTTTCAATACGTCCCTGGCCCCCCCGCTGGGCCGCGCACATGCCGCCGGTCATGATTTGCACCCCCCCCTCTTGGACACCCCCCTCTTTGCCGCTCCCGACCAGCGGGTCGTGGCGCCCTCGGTCCGCAGCGGCGCGGGCTCGGGCTCCGGCGCCGGCTCCGGCTCGGACTCGGCGCGGGTGCCCAGATCTGCGCTGGCCCCGGGCCTGACCGAGACTCCAGCCCTCGAGGCCGGCCTCGAGGTCGTTGGTTCGGAGGTGGAGCCCGGGGTCCAACCCGGGGGCGGCAAGACGACGTGGGCGCGGCAGGCGTCTGGAGAGTCTACCTGCTCAAAGGCATCTTCGGGCCTCACGAGCCTCACGAACTCTGCCTCTTCGGGCGACGCGCCGCCGGCGAGGTCGGGCGGGGTCCTGCGAGCACTGGACCCGGCGCTGCGACACGGGCGCTTCCTGAGGAGGAAGCGCGCGGAGCGGGAGGCCGGCGGCGCGGGGCCGACGAGCGCGTGCAGGAGCGGCTCGCCGGGGCCGCCCGCAGAGGACGCAGGGCCGCCGCAGAGCGCGCGGGCGAGGGCGCGCCCAGGCGCACAGTGCTTCGACAGCGTCCCGCTCAGCCCTGGCTGCCTGGTGGTCGTGAGGTCGGCCTCCGAGGGGCACGAGCAGAGCTCCTGTAGGGCCAGGGTCCTCACAGTGGACCGTGGCGAGGGGTCGTACAAGGTCCGGACGCGCGGGGGCTTCATCCAGACTGTCGAGGCGGGCCAGGTGCAGCGTCTGGTGCTCCACGTCAGGTACGCGGACGACGATGACCTATTCTGAGAGCCGCTGTCAACGCGCAGCCTGGAGGATGAGGGCGGAGAGAGAGGGGGGGGGCAATTTTCTCTGGTGGCCTTGGCCCTTCCCGCCAGCGTGCCTGGGTCGCTGGCAAGAGGCTTCTGAGAGGCATCTTGCGGTCACTTGGGATGCCTTTTGGAGGCCTCGGTGGAGCGGTTCGAGGGCCTCTTAGACTCTTGGAGCCTTTGAGGGATTTCTTGGGAGCCTCTGGGGGCTTCTTTGGGCCTGGAGGCGGTCTCAGGGGCCATCTTGGGGTGGAGGGCTCCAACCGTCAGTTCGCGCTTCCCCTCTTGGGCCCCTTTCGGGGCCGTCGGGCTTCTTGGGCCCCTCTTGGGAGCTGGGCCGACCTTAGCGCGTTTGAACATGACATAGGAGAGTATACAACAACCAAACAAACATCTAAGGAGACTCAGTGATGTTGGCCGGTTGGGTTGGCCCCCGTGGGCCTCCAAGACGTCCCAAGAGGTCACCAAGAGAGAGCCAGACCTTTCCTTTGCCAGTGCAGGTGGGAAGTACGCACACCCAGTCACGCTCCCGAGGCCTTCGGAAAAGCCTCGCGAGAAAAGCCGCGAGGGCGCCCAGAATGTTGACGCCCAGGCAACTTTCATAGTACTCGAGAAGACTCAAGGCACCTCTACTCCACACAGTGCTTTGCGGCACCGTGGTGGCCTTTTGGGGATGAGGCGGAAGAGCAGCAGCAGCAGCAGCAGCAGCAGCAGCAGGAGGATGTCGGAATGCTGATCGCGAGTTGCACTTCATGAGCTGGGCGCGTGCGGCATTGTTCTGCCTGTCCCTCCAGGACCTCGAAGCCTTGATCCTCTCTACGTGTACGGGACCTGCCCCCGGGGGCGCATGTGTGGTCGGCTGGTTCCGGCGCGCCCAGGCAGCTCGGGATAGCCTGGCCTCCCTGCTTGACGGCTCTTGTCTTTCTCCGACGGCAGCGCAGAGCCGTTCGATTTCGGATAACCTTGAGCCCCAGCAAGCAGGTGTGACTCTCTGGACGACAGATTCCGTGCCCGGACTCGCAGTATCGATTCAATGCGTGCCGCTTTCACCGCTCATCCTCAGCGATCTGGTAGGAGCTATGGGGAGAGGGTCCGAGACAACCTAGACAACGGCCCCACCCTGCCGAAAGGACTTGGGACAGTTGCCTTCGTGACAGCCCCAGGGCGGTTCCAAGAGCCCCCGACCTGGTTGCAGCAGGGCCCGGGCAGATCCAAGAGAGCCGAGGTACGATCCGCAAGAGCACCGATAACGTGCCAGCATGCATGTCCAGGCCTTGCTTGACGAGGAGGCTGTCCTGGCCGGGCAGGATGGAGGCGCTCGGGGCCATCTCGGGGCCATCGCACTGGCGTTCTGGGCAGTCTGAAGCGCTTTCGAAGGCATGGTGGGCCCATCTCGGAGCCATCTTGAGCTGCAATGTGCAGAAGGCATCGCAATCATTCGCTTGTATTCTATGTCTTGGCCTTTGGGGCGCCCTCCGCATTGCCATCCTGGGGCTTCTCGGGAGTGGGTCACCTGAGCTGCCGTTTGCCATCTTGGAGCCTATGTTGGGCAAACCTGGGGGCTCTGAAAGCTACTTTGACCATCTTGAGGACTTCTCGTGGCCTTCCCGTTCCCGCTCCTTAGGCAGGAACTCGATGTGGATGTATTGGGCGGGGGGTCGCCCTGACCAGGCAGCAGAATGCGTGCAGACCTGGTGTCGATGTCCCTTCCTTGGGCCGGGACTGACATGCCTCTGGCAGGCTGTGTCGGCGGACTCCGCAGGGATCGGTGCCTGTATTTCTACTGCTGTCCCTGGCCTGTGCGTGCAGTTGTTTAGTTTGGTGCTGGCAGGGAGCGCTGCCGAAAGGGCATGTGGTGGTATTGGACGATGAGAGGAGGAGAAGGAGGAGGAGAAGGAGGAGGAGAAGGAGGAGGAGGAAGATGAGATCGATGAGGATAACTCCACATATGAGTAAGGAGAGGAGGAGGACGAGGAGGACGAGGAGGAGGAGGAGGGGGAGGAGGAGGAGGAGGAGGAGGAGGAGGAGGAGGAGGAGGTGGTTCGGGGGGGAGGGGGAGAAGGAGCGCGAGGACGAGCAGGCCAGGGCGTCGAACGATACACACATAATGTCATATACACATATAACGGCGCACCGGGTCCGGGGGCCCGGGGCCGCGACCACGACCACAAATGTATGTGTGCCCAGGCTCTTTGGGCGTCCCTGAGGCCCTCAAAACGCCCCGGGAACGCGCCAAGAGAACCCGAAGACGCCCCAAGACTGACCCAAGACACCCAAAGGCCGCTCCAAGATGCCCAAGATGGCCCCCAAGACACCTCCAAAGGCCTCGCAGACGCTCTAAGAAGCCCCCGAGAGGCCCCCCAGGACGTCCCCAAGAGGCACACATAGCCCCATTCCCTTTGCAAAACGTGCATTTTTAGAATATTGATTGTTTTCGCTGTCGTACCGTTCTTGACGACATCAGAGTTCCCCAAGACCGCCCCAAGACGGCCCAAGAGGCGCCCCCGAGGGCCCCAAGAAGGCCCCAAAGAGCCCCAGGACGGCCCAAGAGGCGCCCAAGACGGCCCAAACGGGCCCCCAGCGCCCAAGAGAAACCCAAGATTGGGAAATCCAGCTGGCAATTCTAGCTTTCCGCCAAAAGAGGCGCCCGGGAGGCCCCAAGAGGCCCCGAAGAAGCCCCAAGAGGCCTCCAAGAGGCCACCCAGACGCCGCAAGAAGGCCCCACGAGGACCCCCGAGAGAGCCCAGAGAGCCAGAACCTGCTTATTTCCAGTAGATGTTCGAAGGATGTTTGTCATCTCGCCTTCTCGGGTCTCCGACGCTCGAAAACAGCCCAAGAGGCCCCCAAGATCGCCCCAAGGAAGCCCGCGAATCCCCCAAGAGGATCCAGAACGGAAGCCCGAACCGACCATTCGAGCTTTCTGCCCCAAGAAGCCCCGAAGAAACCCGGAAGAGGCCCCCAAGACGCCACAAGAAGGCTCCAAGAGGACTCCCAACAGAGCCCCGAGAGCCCAAATTCGTTGATTTCCTTTGTGTTTTTTGAAGGATTTCGCCCTTCTCGCCTTGTCGGCTTTCCCAATCTCCATGGCGGCTCAAGGGGTCACCAAGACCGCCCCGAAACAGCCCGAGAAGCCCCCAAGAGAACCCCTAATACGGCCAGGAGGGCCCCAAGACGGCCTACGAGCCGCCCAAGACGGCCCAGGAGGGCCCCAACACGGCCCCAAGAGAGGCCCAATATGGGGGAGCCCGAACCGACAGTTGGAGCCTTCCACTTCAAGAGGCCGCCCAGGAGGGCCCATAGATTCCCAAGAGGCCCCGAGAGGCCCCCGAGAGGCCCCGAGAGGCCCCAGGACGGCCGATGACGTTCGACGTAATTACGCCGTACGACGAGATCCTCGCGGTTTGGTTGAAGTCCCTCAAGGAGCATCAGAAGAGGCAGTCGTCAGGTGGATCCTGGAGAGTCCTTCCGTAGCCGATGTCGGTTGAACTCTTCCTCCTCCCCTCCTGCTCCCCCTCCTCCTCCTCCTCCCCCTCCTCCTCCTCCTCCGCCTCCCCTCTCGCTCCTGGCGCCCTTGCTCCTGCCCCTGCTGCGCTTACTCGTTTGGACCCGGGGAGGGGTCTAGGGACCCGCTTTGAGCGGATTTGGTCCGACGACGCCGCTGCCCTCCTCTCCCCTGCGCCTCCGTCCCCCGTCCCCCCTCGAACTTCCGCCCGCCTCCCTCGCCGTCGTCGTCGTCGTCGTCCGCCGCCCTCCCTCCTCCATTCTTCGTCCCTCCGCGAGGTTCGAGTTTCGAACTTCGAGATTCTTGTCTGAGCCTCCTGGAGGCTCCTCGTGGCCGCGGCCAGATCTGCCTTGAAATCCGGGCCAGAACTCACCCCTTGGATTGGTCCGTGGGCTGATTTTCGACCCCTGGCCCCGACCCCCTCGCGTCGCGAAAACAATCACGACGGCGGGCTTTTGCTTTCTTGGGGCCTCTGGGGGCCCTGTCCAGGCGCCGCGGCCGCGGTCCCAGGGGAAGGGCTGAGACTTCCAGGGGTGCACGCTGCGAACGACAAACACCACGACGACGGCGATGGCGGCGACGGCGACGGAGACGACGACGACAACGACGACGACGACGACGACGACGACGACGACGTCGACGTCGACGACGACGACGTCGACGACGACGACGACGACGGCGAAGACGACGACCACGATGACCACGACGACCGCCGTGCGTAGCAACGCGCGCGCCGTGCGTATATATATATATATATATATATATATATATGTGTGTGTGTGTGTATATATATATATCACGGGGGGGCAGGCCCGGGGTCCGAAAACAGCTGCCTCGACCCTCCATGGGAGTACCGGGGCTCATTTTCCTTTTGTTTTTACATGGTTTCGGCGTCCCGGGCCTCGGAGGCCGCCGCGATGGTCCCAGACATTTTCCAGATCCTCGGCGCGGGCTTCAAGACCATTCCGCAGAGGGCTCCAACATGTTCCAGGGCAGCCCAAGAGGGCTCTAAGACGGCTCCAGGACCGACTGCAGGCTATCATGTTTCCTGTGTTTTCTGCAAGACGGTCCCAGGAAGACTGCATGTCTTATAAGGATGGTTTCCGCCTCTTGCCCCGAGCATCCCAAATTGCCTGAACGGTTCCCACTCGCCTTCCCCAAACCCAGCGCTTGTCCAAGCGCGTTCCGGACGGTTATCGCCGGAGAAATAAATTAGAAATTTGGGAAATGATCACTCCCCCCCCCCCCCCCTCGCTGCCGGGGAGTAACATGACCCAACGTCTTCGTGGGATGGGCGCCCTGCCACTGTGATCGCGTCGGGGAGATGCTCACGGAAGAATAGCGCTGAAAAGATATGGCCACAATCTCGGTGAGGGGGGGGGGGGGGGGGTTGGGTGGGTGGGGGGGGGAAAAACGCTCTCCCCGGCACCGCTACCCCAGGCCTTCCGGGGAGGCCTTCCAGGGAGTTCCCAAGGAGGCCCAAGGACGCCCCCCCCCATGAGCCCCCAGAAGGCGAAAGGATGGGCCCAAATCGAGACGCTCCCCGAGCAGCCAAGACTGTTGGGCGTCAAGCCTCCGACGGCTCTTCGAGGCTCCCAGGTGGCCTCCAAGAGACCCCAAGAAGTCTGATTAGTATCACGGTACGGCCCGAAGAGGCCAAAGTCATATATGTTCAATGGTCTTTTCAATGTTTTTGGCTTCTCGCGTTTTCGAGCTTCCAACGGTCCAAGAGCGCCGAAAAGAGGAAGAGGCTTTTGCTATTTTTCCTTCCGTTACGATCCTTTTCTTATTTAACTTTGTAGTTGATCTATGTGATACTTCTATTTCTGTGTTATTATCTCTGTCTTTTATTATTTTTTTTTTTTTTTTTTTTGTTTTTTTTTTTTCAAGACCGCCCCCAGACCACCGAAAAGAAGATTTGAGACCCTCAGGACGGCCCCAAGACGGGCCAAGAAGGCTCCAAGACTGCCGAAGAGGCGCCCAGCACAGCCCCAGACCACCCCAGAACAGGCCCAATATGGGCCCAAGAGTGGGAGCAGGAGGCTTCAGAGACCTCCGAGAGGCCTCCGGGACCCCCCAGAGGCCGCCAACACCCCCCCGATCTTTGAGAGGTCCCAAAGAGACCCCGACGAGGCTCCAAGAACAGCCCAAGAGAGCTGCGAGAGCCGTCCCGAGAGAGCCCAAAGAGGGTAAAATCGTTGATTTCCCATGGTTTTTCCTTATGTTTTTCGCCTTCTCACGTTTTCCCGCTGCCAGCCCTCAAAGAGCGAGGATTTGGGGAAAAAATGGAATTCCAAGAATTCCTTTTTTCATCAAAGTGGAACTCATACTCGGGAGTCCTACATATCCCCTGTCTGGCCGGTACCGCGCCTCCCGGCTTCTTGACGTTTTCGCGGAGTCTCCGAAGGCCCCAAGGAATCCGGGAATTGTGGATTTGGGTTAGATGCTCATCCATTCAGGACTCAGGACAGAAATTCATGCGCGAACCAAGCATGTCCATCTCTCGTTCAAGTGCCGTGTGGGATAAGTGATGCTGGGGTATTTAATTTCATGGCGCTGCAGCCCAGGGTAGCAGCGCCTTTCACGCAGCAGTATCCAGCGAGCTGCAGCCCAAGGTAGCAGCTCATGTACAGCGCTGGCCGCTGCCTCCCAGGCACTTTCTACTCAGAGCAAGCGACGCCCGCTGGCCGCCAAGATGGCCCCTTAGTGGTCCAAAACGTTCCAAGATGCTTCAAGGCGGCCCCCAGGGGCCACAAGATGCCCCAGCGGAACTCCCAAAGGCCCTCCCAAATGACCCCAGAGAGTCACAAAAGCAAAAACCATTCAGGTTTCTCCATATTCAGTAAAGCTCACGCTCGTCTCCTTCGGATGACTTCGGGAGAGCTCCGAGGCTCGAGACGGCCCCACAACTTCTAAGAAGAGCCCAAGAGGGGCCCAAGCGGGCCCCAAGGCCTTCAAGGCAGCCCAAACAGGAAGATCCACAGAAGACCCGTACATTTCAAGCCAGCCCGCTTCATCTTGAATATCTTCCCACGCCAGCCCTGAACCGCCGAAGCCCCTGCATAATACCAAGCAAGAGGAGGCCGTCGATAAGAACGGAAAACGAAAAGCGAGGACAACCGAGAGAGTCTGGAGGGTTAACGAGGAAGGACGTATAAGGAATATTGGAGAACAAGGTAAAGCAAGGCATGGAGTGAACCTGTCCGAAAAGCACGCGCAGCTAACAACGCCATGGCACGCGCTAGAACCCAAGCGCGCGCGAAGCGTGCGCGCGGTTCTATATAATATAAATCAATACTGCCCCCCCCGGCCCTGGGTCCCACACCTCCCCGCCACATCTCGGGGACGCTCCCGGTACCATGGTCCAAGACGCTCCCGAGCAGCCCAAGTCAGCCTTCCGACGGCTCTCGAGGCTCCCAGGTGGCCTCCAAGAGACCCCAAGAGAGGTCCGAGAGGCGTCCCGGGACGGAACGAAGAGGCCCAAATCGTAGATGTTCATTGTTTTGTTTGCAATTGTTTTTGACTTCTCGCGATTTCGAGCTTCCAATGGTCCAAGAGCGCCGAAGAGGCTTCCAAGACCGCCCCCAGACCACCGAAGAGACCCTCAGGACGGCCCCAAGACGGGCCAAGAAGGCTCCAAGACTGCCGAAGAGGCGCCCAGCACAGCCCCAGACCACCCCAGAACAGGCTCAATATGGGCCCAAGAGTGGGAGCAGGAGGCTTCCAGAGACCTCTGGAGGTCCCACACATCTCCTGACATCTTGCCGATACCGCGCCTCCCGGCTTCCTGGTGGGAGACCCCAAGACGCCGAAGGACAGCCCATGACGACCTCAAGGAGCCCCCTGAACGTAAAGAACGGCCCGACACGCTCCCGCGCAGCCCGAGACACCCTTCCGGCGGCTCTCCAGGCCTCCAGGAGGCCTCCAGAAGCTCCGGGGGGTCCGGAAGCTCCCACACCCCTGAGGGGCCCAGCTAACAAAACCCGCGACGCACAAACAAAAAACAGCGCCGAACAGCGCCGAGGAATTGGAAAAGCATGGAAATCCCACAATACATTTTTTTTAAGTTTGGCCCCCAGTCTACTCTTGCACAACAGACCACAATGCAGACCCCCCTCACCTCCCAAAAATGAACCCAGGAAGCTTCTAAGGGCCCCAAATCGTTGAATACGTAAAGGAAATTCATGAATTCTGCGTTTCCGCACTTTACCTTCTATACGATTCCGAGGCTTGAGCAGAGCCTCTAAGGGAGTCCCTGGACCCAAGAAGCGACCAACATGATATTACATGAGTTAGCCTATCAAGCCTAGCTAGAATTTGAGCGCGCGAAGCGCGCGCGATGGTTCTAGTGTATAGATGTATAGATGTAGAGGTACGCATGCGTATAAATATTTGTGTATATGCATGCATACATACGTACAGACAGGCAGACATACATACATACATACATGCGCACATATATATATATATATATATATATATATATCGGAGGTGAGGGGGTGAGATCGAAGTGGAACGGAGAGCCCCCCTACCGGGAGATCGATTTCGGTTTTGTGTTCGTGCGTGCCGTGCGTGCGGCGAGGCGAAGCTGCGTGGGCGGGCGAGAAGAAAGTCTCCTGTGGCTGAGGGCGCACCGGACCAAATTCTCCTTCCAGGCGGCCGGTGGCCCGCGGTGTCCCGCCGGTGTCCCGCGGGTCCCGCTGGTGTCCCGTGTGGCTGAGGCGCGGCCAGAACAAATGTCTCCCTTACGGGCCGACGGTGGCCCGCGTGTGTCCCGCCGTGTCCCGCGTTTCCCGCGGTGTGCCCCGCGGTGTCCCGCCGGTGTCCCGCGGTGTCCGCGATGATGATGATGATGATGATGATGATGATGATGATGATGATGATGATGATGATGTTGATGATGTTGATGATGAGATGATGATGATGATGATGATGATGATGATGATGATGATGATGATGATGATGATGGTGATGCTGATGATGATGCTGCTGATGATGCTGATGCTGATGATGATGCTGATGCTGATGATGATGATGATGATGGTGATGCTGATGATGATGCTGATGATGAGGACGATGATGATGATGATGATGATGATGATGATGATGATGATGATGATGATGATGATGATGATCGAGTGAGATCGAGTGTGAGATAGATCGAGTGAGATCGAGTGAGATCGATTGTGAGATCGATCGAGGGAGATCGATCGAGGGAGATCGATCGAGCGAGACCGATACTGAGATCGATAGTGAGATCGATAGTGAGACCGATCGAGTGAGACGTTGGTTCCTCCCCCCCCGAACCTCCATATCACCCGAAGGGTGGTCGTATAGGTATATATACACATGTGTGCATGCATGCATGCATGCATACACACATGCAGACATACATACATATATACATACATACATACATACATACATACATACGTACGCACACTATATACATATATTCATATATACAGACATACATACACACATACATACATACACACATGCATGCATGTATGCATACTTACATACATACATACATACATACATAAATACATACATACATACTTACATACACACGTACATACACGCATACATACATGCGTACGTACACACATACATACATATAGAGGCATAGCCAGAATCAGCGACAGAGACAGACAGGGACAGAGACATACATACATACATACATACATACATACATACATACATGCATACATACAGACATGCGTACATACACACGTATGCTGTTGCCGAGGAAGATGCACGCGCATTTCTCTGCGACGCGATCGAGCAACCAGCTTTGTGTTGTTCTGAATTTCAAGAAGTTGCGCTCCGGGATGCCTTCTCGTGCGCTCGTGTGCAGAGCCCCTGCATGCCCAGCGAGAGCCATCTCTGCCTGCTGGGCGCAGCAGGGATGGAGTGTCTGCGGTGGCTGCGCTGGTGCGCGGGAGCATGCGGACCTCTGTTGTCCTTCGCTTCGGAGAGGGGGGCGCTCCAGGAGAGCAAGCATCGATCACGCAGACCAGCAGCAGGCCTTCGGGCAGTGCCAAATCGTTCACGATGGCGCCACCCTGCCCCGCCTCTGGCGGTCTCTTTTGAGCCTCGAGTACGCGGGGGAGCAGGAGGAGAAGGAGGAGGGTCCGAGGCGGAGATTTATACACAGCCACCGCCTGGGGATCAATCGTCGGGGATCTCGACAGGCTTTGAATATGGGTATTTTCGGGCCCCCCAGGGCCAAGATATATCCATATCCATTGCCCGTTGGGGTCCCAGGACGTCGGTTCCACAGGCGGTTGATATGGAAGTGGTATGGATGGTATATACATATGGATAGGTGTGTGTACATGTATGTATAGAGGTATATGTGTGTATGTATGTATGTATGTATGTATGTATGTATATATATATATATATATATGTATACATACCCCGCCTCGCAAAGGGGGGGGGGCAGGAGGAAACATTTCGAAGAAAACCAGACTGCATAAACATACACTTTTCGAAGCTCTGCGCGGATGTCTTGGATCTGCGCTGGCACCCCCTGGCGGCTCCTCCAGCGCCGCCCGTGGCGCGCTCCGCGCGCCAGGCAGGGGGGTTCAGCGCGGATCCAAGAAGTCTTTGCGGACCTCCAACAGGTTAGGTTTATGCAGTTTGTGTTTTGTGAAAGGAGATGGGATGCCCGTCTCACTCCTTATCCTCCCGCTCACCCGCTTCCTCGCTTCGGATAACGGACCCCTGCCATCGAGGGTCGACGCCGTATCAATAGTTTCAAGCGTGATGTTTGGAGAATTGTTCGGGGCCAGCCCTGTCTGCGCCCGTTTCTGTGTCTCCTGTAGTCGGGGGGTTATAAGATTCTGCGACCGTGTGTTCATCCAGTCTTATCGGTGCCCCATGCCACCCGTGGCAGTCCAGCTCTTCGTGGGCATGCCACAATCTCCCATTGGACACCACTGGTCCCGTGGGCCTTGTACAGCTCCCTCGTTGTCCTCCCATGCGCGCGAGTCTTCTCGCAAAGACATTACAGGTGTCTGTCGGTCGGGGCGGTTTCAAACCAGAGTAGGGAGCGTCGAGCGGACCTTGAGGTCTGGCCCTATCTGTGCCGCGATCGGAAAACTTGTGCGCAGGATACAGATTGCCAGGGCTTCGTCACTAGCAGGAGGGGAGGGGAGGAGCGTGCAGGGAGTCGTCTTCACTGCAGTTGGCATGATCTGGAGCACCCTTCTCCTTCCCTCGCCTGTCCCTCTTACTCCGATTTGCTGTCTGACTGATTGAGCTTGCCAGGGCCATCAGATGTTATTTCTACGCGCTGGTGGGAGGGATGATGTGCTTGGACCACAGCTTCAAACAAATAGGTGAAGAGTTTGGTGCTACTGTTTTAAGCGGGTGAGTGGTATTATTTGGGTTGAATTTTTCGCCGGGTGCGCGGGAGTATCCCGCTCGCAGTTTTAGGCGTGTGGGTAAGGCCATGCTGGTGACAGCTTTAGGCGGGTAGCCTAGGATGTTGTTGTTACTGATAGTTGTGTATATATATATGTACATATATCTATATATATATATATATATACACGTGTCGATTTAAGTCTGTGTGTGCGTATTCTGGCAGGCAGTCGTAGACGGGCTGGTGGATATTGCAAAGGCCTTACGGCGGCTCCACAGGCCCTGAGAAGAAAACAACTCAGGCGCAAGAGGCGGAAGGGGGACGCAAGAGGCGGAAGGGGGGCGCATGGGTCGTGTGCGAAAGGCGTTGGGGATATGCTGGGGCCTCTTAGGAGGCGTCTTGGTAGGATCCTGGGGGCCTTCGTAGCCCCCTTTGGCCTTGGGTGCGCCTTGGCGTGGTTGGGGCCTCTTGGGCCCCTCTTGGGGGCCCCGTAGGGTCTTCTGGGGATCATGTTGGAGGGGTTGGATTCGAGGCGGTAACGCTGTTTCGGGCCACTCTGGAGGCCATCTCGGGGGCATCTTGGGCCCCTCTCGAGGGCCATCTTGGGCCAGTCTTGGAGGCTTCTTAGGGGAACTCTCTCACAAAACCTGTTGGGGTTCAGCCGATTTCGGGTTCTGGGGACGGCAGCCAGAGTCTCCACGACATCCCCGCAGACCCCCAAGAGCGCCGAAGCTGTGTTTGCTGCTCTTGGCTCCGAGAGGACGCTCTAGCGGCCCTGGGTGGCCCAAAGTTGCCCAAACCTGCCCCAAGATCGTCGCCTGGGCCATTCCTGGGAGGCCCCCCCCCCAGACTTCCCCGCCCAGCGAGGAAGGGATCAAAGGAAAGCGGCTTTCTTTCGACTCGCTTTCGAGTTGGGTCGAGTCAGAGTCATCTCGGGTTGGTGAGTTTGGAGAGCCCCAGGTGGCGGCAGGGAGAGGGGGGGGGCTTCGAATGGAAAAGTATATCCTGGGACCGTCCTCCCTTGGACGATGACTCCAGGACCCTCTCATACATCTCGGCATGGTTGGCGGATTTGTGTGTGGCAGTTTTCAGTGGTCTGGGTGAGGCGATGCGGGTAGAAGTGTTAAGCGGGTGGATGGTCACACCTCGGTGGCAGCTTGAGGCTGGTTGGCGAGACCATTGG